TTCACCCAAAACAAATTATCAAAACATACCTTCAGGTTAAAGTGGAGAAACTTTTGGTGAACTATTTCAACAAAAGTATGTCAAATTTTTGGAGGGCACTTTCTTAGATATTTTTTATGAGGTATTATCGGGCATAAATGGTGCAATAATTGGATCAGTTGTGACCAAGGCTGTGTTGCCCAGCAAAGGCAACAGCTGGCTTCCAGGAGATCTCAACATTGCCGTGCCCCAAGACCGTTTGACGAAGATGTCACATTTTTTCAGGGAACATGGTTATGAACTTTCAAACACCGGAGTGGACGATCGTTATTTTCTTGCAGACATTATCAGCTTTAGCATCTACACCAACAGATGCACAACAGTAACAATCTCCGAGAGTGCTTACTCTGACTCCTTCCTAGCAGTGGTTCTGGCATCGTTGCATATGGCAGCAATGAATTTCATAACTGCAGATGATATTTGTTGCCTTTATCCTGGCACGACTCCTTGTCAGAAGACCTATTCGTTCAAAGAACCTATGGGATTGAATGAAGATGAAAAGGGTGCTCTTCTATCGTGGGGTTTTGTTGTCATGTCAACGTTTTCAAGTCCTCAGGAATATTGTGGAGATTTTTGTCCTGTTGCAATGCAACAATTTCGAGGATTGAGACGAATGGGTTTATTTCGTTGGCGTGGAAGCAGCATATTGAATTTAGGCAAACTTTCATATTCTTTGTCTATTGGTACAAAGTGCCAGCAAATTCGTTGCCTTGCCCAACATCAAACAAACTTGATCAAAGGTGAATTACCTCTGTTAGTTCAAGTATTCCCACTTAACACACTGTCAAATCACAGGAAGTTGTGATTCCTGGGGAGGGACTATTTAGTAAGAAATGAGTGAAATTATCACTTATCCAGTGACAGCTCGATAGTTGGTGAAGAGATTGCTAATATGTGGTATCACCTTGATTGTTCCAAAAATGTGCATCAGCCCATCTTTTTCCATGACACATCTCACAATGTATGATCAATTGAAAAAGCGTAGACACTATGAAAACATACAACATGTTGTCTTTGATTAGTGCCGGTCAGTTTATGATGGCACTGTTATAAAATTCGTTCAGGTGTCAAAGAAAACATAATAGTCTGTCAACGGCGAAAGTCAAATTTCGAAATTCATCACTGTCTTCCACTCTGTGTGTCTGGAAAACTGCGGGTCCATTGATAAACAGCAGTTGCAGCACAACTTTCGAGTCCACCCCATATTCCCGAAAGATAGTGAAAGATTGGAGTGCCAGAAAGAGTGTTGGGGTCAGCCATGCGACAACATGCTCAATACTGACTGGTTTGGCGAGGTCTTTATTGTCCTCCACTGATTCCTGCTGGAATCCGGTGGAATCCGGGCAATTCCTGGAATTCCAGAGGAATCAAATTTGGCAGAGGGCCCTGCCAAATTGATCAAACAATTCCGCAGAATTTTGAATGGAATTCAAATTCCACCAGAATGGTTCCAGTAATCACCCGGAAGGAATGATCACAGAACACAATGGAACGGAAGTCCTGACGCCCAAATCAAGTGTTGGCATTTGCCAACGCTTGATTTGGGCGTCATCAACAAACAACACACCCTCTCTCTCAACCACCACCATCGTCCATGATGCCCACCCATCGCCATGTCACCACAATAACCCGTGGTCACCACCACCCATGACACTTGTCAATCAGCAACCCCGACCACCACGATGCGTCAAGAACAACATGAGAATGCCACATCAGTGATAGTGACGTGGCATCCAGATGACGAACGACGTTGTTGTTTGTCGTCATTCAAAGGTAAGTGCCCCCCCTCCTCCATCCCATCCCACCCTGCTAATGACTACCAAACGCAACACCACGACAATGCAACACGACGGCGACATGCCACAACACAACAACAACAATGCAACACCACGACAATGCAACACCACGTCAATGCGACATGATGACGGCAACATGACATGACAACAACAACACAACACATTGACAACAACGCGACACGACGACAATGCGTGCCCATGTCGTCGAGCCTTCCTTCCCTCCCTTTTCCCCCCTTCCCTGTCCCCCCTTCCTTGAGCCTATCTTTGTCCATCTCCCCTCCCTTTTCTCTCCCCCTTCTTTGTCCATCTCCCCTCCCTTTTCTGTCCCCCTTCCTTGTCCATCCCCCCTTCCTTTTCTCTCCCCCTTCTCTGTCCCTTCCTTGTGTGTGCCTTTCTTTGCCCATCTTGGTAGGAATCAGTGGGGAATGGAAAGTATTGGGTTTGGCAGTTGCAGGCTGGATCATCAAATAGACCTCTTCAACGTTCGGGAGGCCATTTGGTGGTTGCTGAATGTAGATCCAATGCGTATTTCTGATTAGCACATGGAGAGCTTTGAAGTCGTTTGTCTCGGATAATATTCGGAAACACTCCAAGTCTAGTTGTCGATGGTAAATGATTCAAAAACATTAAACAAGGGACGTACAAGCAAATAAAATATTTCAATTTGACACTGGTGGGAACCACTATTTATGATATAAACAGGGTAAGTGCCAGCAGAGCTATGTGATTGTGGCCACACTCTTTTATGAAAGACATTTCATTCATTTACCTTTGGTCTTTCTTTCTCATAAAGCCTCTGATGTTTTTTATTATGTGGGCAAGTCTATGAATCTATTTCATTCTTGATTGCTTTCATTGCGATTTTCATTGTGGATCTGAGGGAAATTCATTGTGAAATTCATTGTTCATCTTAGGGAATTTCATTGCTCATCTTAGGGAATTTCATTGTGATTTTCATTGTGGATCTCAGGGAATTTCATTGTGATTTTCATTGTTCATCTTACAACCAAATCCCCATGGACCTATACATATGCAGGGACACTACAGGTATAACAGATAAGCAGCCTACAAACTTTGGTAGTCCAAAACAGAAACTTTTGTAATCCCAAAAAGCGGACCATACAAATATTTGTAGTCCCAAAAAGCGGACACTACAAACTTTTGTAGTGTCAATCAATAAATTTTGTAGTCTATGTCCGACTTTTTGTAGTCTTGTGTAGGCTGATAAAATGTTATTCTCAAAATGTGGACTGTACAAATGCTTGTAGTGTCAATCAATAAATTTTGTAGTCTATGTCCGACTTTTTGTAGTCTTGTGTAGGCTGATAAAATGTTATATTCTAAGTCCAACTTTTGTAGTCTTTTGTGGTGTGTTAGTTCACTTTGTAGTCTGTATGTGACTTTTGTAGTCTGTATCTGCCTTTTGTAGTCTATCATGGCTCTTTTGTAGTCTATTACTGTCAATGTCCTTTTCAGAGCATGCACCTTCCTTTTTCGGTCATGTTTCCCACAATACAATAATTGTAACCCTTCCTTTTAGCTTTCTAAATGTCTCAAAATCATGTTGTTTGGTTTTGTTTTCATGGAGAAAAATGCAAAAAAAAAAAAAAAACGCGGCATTGAGGAACATCTTTTCCAAGAGAATTAAAAATTAAAAGGCAAAGAATATTTTTCCAGCTATTTTTGTGTATGTTTCCATATTTGGAAGTGCACCCTAGACCCTGAATGCAGTAATGAAATATTCAATAAATGCACAATGAAATATCCTAATGAAATATCCAATGAAAGCACAATTGAAATGATAATTGCAATAAAATTCCCTGAGATGAGCAATGAAATTCCATGAGATCCACAATGAAAATCACAATGAAAGCAATCAAGATACATAATGAAATAGATTCATAGACTTGCCCACATAATGAAAAACATCAGAGGCTTATGAGAAAGAAAGACCAAAGGTAAATGAATGAAATGTCTGCCAGAAGCAATCCTTCACCAGAGGAACATAATGAATCCCCTCAGCACGGAAGCACAATACCCCCTCCTCAAAATTTTTCACCCTGACCAAATCCATTAAACACCCAACCAATCACACTGGCAACTGACGATCAGACTGCAGTACCACCCCCCAGACTTGCCCAAAATCCGCTCAATACTCCTCTGACATATCCTATTCAATGGGCACAACCCAACTACAACCAATACCCACAGTACTGGAATTTTCCTCCCTTTCCCCCCCAAATGATGGGTATGCCGTCGCAATACCCTCTCCACTATCAACCCCAAATACCGAATGCATGGAACTTCGGTTTAAGCAACAGACACACTGTAAATTTCCATCCTTCTCTGGGCATACAAAATACTATGCCGCAACAGAACTTCCCTGGAGGATACGCCCCAAACTGGCCAAATAACCAGCCTCCCCCAACCAATTATCCTCCTGGACCCCTGGGAAATGGTCCCCCTGGCCCCCCAGGAAATGGTTCCCCAGGCCCCCCAGGAAATGGCCCTCCTGGACCCTCAGGAAATGGTCCTCCTAGAGGAAATCCAGTACTTTACCATCCCCCACATAATCCACATGGACTCCACTGGATTCCACTGGACTTCACTGGACTTCACTACATATTGGCAATATCCACAAATCTGGACTCCACTGGACTGCAAGCACAAATCTGGACTGGACTGGACTGCAAATCACAAAACTGGATTCCACTGGACTCTTCCAACACAAAACTGGACTCCACTGGACTGGACTTGTGAAACCGGGTTGTCGTTCAGGGCTTCTTGACGAAGGCATGGACGAGAGAGGGAAGCGGAGAATATGCGTGGGACGTAAGAGAGTGCACGTGGAGCGGTCACGAGTATCGTGGCCGCACCTCCGTGATCCAGTAACCCAGGATGGGGGACGCTGTCACCCAGCGCGGGGCTCTGGTATCCCAGAGGGGAGGCACTAGGCTGCCTAGCCATGTACGTTCGTGGTGACTCGCTCCACATGTAAGTTGATGTGAAAGTTGCAAGTGCTTATATTAGTCTGCCTCGGCACAATATAACAAGAAGACAAACAAAGGTAAATACGATGATCCCATGTCACGCAAGATAGGTAGTACTACAGTATCACAAAGCCCCCCCGTGAGATTGGAGCATCGTCCACAGCGGTAAGCTCCCTCAACAACGCCGATGACGTCTTTTCCGTTCCTCGCGTTCCTCGTCTCGTTTCCTATACCCTTGGATTTTCTGCCCACTCCGACGTCCTCTCTTCGTCCTCTTATAGTCTGGTTCCCTATCGTCCTCAAGATCAACAGGATCCTCGTCCATTGAATCCGGCGTGGGATGCAGGTCCTCTGGAGTAACTAAGGGGGCTGTTGCAGGCTGTACCGTGCCTCCCCAAGACGTAAGACCATTCCATGAGGCAGAGCTTCCCATAGGCCCATCTTCCGATATTCGATCGGCAAGTGTCCATTGAGCAGGGTTCGAGAGCCTGGTAGCTAGATTGGAAGGCACTGCGTCGCTCAACCTGGCGGACAGATGTTCCGTCATTCGAGACATAAGGGTTGGTTGCACGGGGGTGGGAGGTGGGGATCCGGATGGTATTCGTTGTGTAGATGAGATTCTGGAGGCTAATGGCTCCGTAGGCTGTGTAGGAGTGAAAGAAGGCAGCGCGGTCGTTGAAGGCAACACCGCAGCCACTGGCCATGGTAACAGAGCGCTAGGGGTTGCCTTGGACGATGGCATAGGGAAGGGAATTATGGTCGTGTTTCCTTGCAAGAGGACGGGACTAAAGGTGTTGCCTGAGGGTGACCACATGAAGGCAACGTTCGCGCCAAAGGGCAGCGGGGCGTTGTGTGGTAATCCTACGAAGGCTGGTCCACTAGGCAATACGGGTAATGGGGGAATTTGCACCGTTGCACCTGTATCTACATTTGGAGCAGCAACAGAGTTGAAGTTAGACCGATTTTCCTGGGAACCCACCGGAATTGTATCACGAGAGGGCCGGAACAGACGGGGTTCTGGCGACCGAGATCGACGGTAAGGGGCATGTTCCCGATAGTGTGGGGAGGGAGACCGTTGGTAACGTCTTCTAAGGTAATCAGAATGCACGGGTGATCGTCGTTGTGGGAGGGGTGAGGGCCTCCTGCCAGTATGGTAGCGATCCGCTGAGGGTGATCGCTGTCGAACGTCCCGAGACTTGTGACGTTCTCTGACATCCCTACCCCGGGAGGATGAGCTGGCCGTGGGACCTGGAGTTGGGAAGGGCCTCTGATCTTCGACAATCGTCGTGGAATCTGGCCATCTGTGGGAAGAACGAGCGAGGGCTCTGACGTAATCTCCATAATCTGCATAAGCGACTAGCAATTCTCTACTGTTTTCTCTCCTGTGATGCATGTAGGTCCTCATTTGTCGAGCCTGATCCACTGACTCCATCTCGAACCAAAAATTCTGACTGCGGTCTGAGCAAACTCTGAAAATTTGCCTGACTGTCAGTTGAAGATGAGCAGCGATTGAGGCTATCAGGTTTTGAATAGTCGAGAATTCTTCCGAAGCAGGTAAGCCGTACAACATCAGAAATGAGGAAGCAAATTCAAGGGGATCCGTGGGGGGAGCTTCTTCTACCTCTATCTCTGAATCCACAGTGAAGGTAAGAGGAGGGATCTGAGGGCCCATGGCTTCGTGAATAGAATCTTCATCCCCTATCGAGACTTCGTCCTCATTTCGCGGGTGATTCAACACTGGGGCAGGCAAAGGGGGAGGAATTTGGGTGGATTCAGACGAGCCGACCCCCGGCTCTATGGTCGCGCCTAAGGCAGCGGGCTCTGACTCGACAGATGAAATAACAGCATTTAATTTGACGGTTGGGGCTGAGAGTGATGACCTTGTTCCGATATCCTGAGCGGCGGGCATAGCGGTCGCGCTCTTGGAGGAAACATCTGTGGTCATTGCTCTATTCTGGACCGACTGGCGTAAGAAGTCCATGTCGGGGTAATAGTCGTCGTCACTGTCACTGTCGTCATCAGGCGGGGGAAGTGGGGTTCTATTCAGGCAGGGAAGATCTTCTGGTCGGGGAACGGGGGCTATCTTGCCTACGTCTGCTGATTGTGGCTCCTGAGTTTTGTAGATCCAGTAGGGCTGGGGACGTCGATTCTTGTTCATGTCTTTATAGATTCCCTTCGGACAGGGCATGCCAAAGACGTCTGGGTTCGACACACATCCTTCAGGTGCTCTAGGTGGATGAAGAAAAAAGAGGTGGTGATGTTTGTCACGATCGTACATGGAGTGGGAATGGTGGTCGGGAATAAACTTGGCGCCTACTTCGCGGAAGGACCCTTTGGGCTGATAATTCTCCACCCATTTGATCCACTTTTTCTGTTCATGGGGAGGAGCTCCCGGTCGGCTAGGAGCAGCTCTCTTGACTGGAGGCGGTTTAATCCAGGGAACCCGGTCCTTAGCAATGATTACGGTTTCAGCAGGAGGAGGTCCATAGTCAACGGTCTGTGGTTTCGGCGGTTCCTTGATAGGAGATTTACCCTTCTGAACTTGAGGATCGGACCATGCCCAATTTGCGACTTGTGTTCTAGGAGGCTCTTTGGCAGGGAATTTGTCCTTCTGAACAGGGGGTTCAGACCACACCCATCCCGGATCATGGAAGGAGGAGGTGTCACGTAGTGACAGGTCCCCTCGAGACAAGGCAAGCGAATCATAGTCATTAACGCCCCAATGTAGTGACGCCGCACTGGAACCTGCGGCGAAGTCTATCATAGTCTCAGGAGCTGCGAGCTGAGCGCGCTCCAAGGACGTGATTTCCTTTGCTATGAAGCAGGGGATGCCTTCCTTCAAATACCACCTCGCTTGTCGTTCTTCTATCCCGTTCAGCCAGACACCCAGATATCGATCATCTGCCATTCTGGACACGGCGTTGGCATCAGGCATCCAAAAGGGGGTAGCTTGTAGCCGGGAGACATAATCCACGAAGGCACGTTTATCTTTCAAACCTCGTTGGGCCTCAGTGACCCAGTCAACCGCTAGCGAGAATCGTTTGATTTGTTTCAAATTGTTCAGGTTCTCCGAGGTAGGGTTGAGAGGTCGTATGGCGGGACTCCATAGCGCTCGGTGTGACGGTTCAAGGAAGTGATGATTTACTTATTCCTTGTGAAGTACTTCCAACCTCCTTTCCACTTCTTGATTCCGATGGATGAGCTTGTCGACGTAGGAAGGATGAATTCGTCCAGTATCAACAGCAGGGGCAGGATCGCTTTTCCAACAATTCGTCACGAATTCGAAGCGGGCATCAGAATGAGAGCCCTCCACTCCTTTCCGGGAAACCAGAGTTGAGTATTCCTGGTAGGGTCAAAGGGCCCCATATGGCCATCATAGCGACGATGCTGTTCTTCAAAGTGGCCGACTCTGAGGTTCAGATTCATCCACTAGTGGCTACCACTATTTATGATTAATCTATGACAACTGTCCAAGAGGCAATGTGTATACTGCCACAGGTTTTATGAAAGGCATCTCATTAGGATTGCCCATCTATTTCATTCAATTTATCACTGGAATCTTTCATAAGATATAGGCAAGAATAATGAGATATCATGAGGATATTTCATTAAGCTCTTTGGCCCTTTCATTGCCATTTCATAGACTTTTCATTAGGATATTTCATTAGGCTCCTTCGCTTTTTCATTGCCATTTCTTAGAATTTTCATTAGGATATTTCATTAGGCTCCTTCGCTTTTTCATTGCCATTTCTTAGAATTTTCATTAGGATATTTCAATAGGCTCCTTCGCTTTTTCATTACCATTTCTTAGAATTTTCATTAGGATATTTCATTAGGCTCCTTCGCTTTTTCATTACTATTTCTCATAAGGATATTTCATTAGGTATTTGGCCCTTTCATTACCATTTCTTAAACTTTTCATTAGGATATTTCATTAGGCTC